ACCCTATTCAACACACGTCTTGCGACAAGCTACCCCCAGTTCGGATCATCCTAACATCACACATAGCGGGGAATGACTCCTGCGTGCAGTACCATGGCACGTTGTGCTGCTCCTGAGCGCCAGTCGTATCGTCAGCTTTGTTCATTCTCCTTATTTTCATCTTGCCATACCGAACAAGGCGGTCGGCCCACGTGGTGCAAGTCAACATGTATACGTCAGTACTTGCCTAGCAACCAAGAAGACGACAAGGGAGGGGCGTGATGTGGAGATCCCATTCAAAAAGGGTGCAACTTTCCCAACGCCTGTCTGTCGAGGACGACGCCCTCAACTCAGAGGGGCTACGCGTATCCGCCATGTATCTGCGTTACAGCGGGCTTTGCTTGTAGATCACACCAGATTCATAATGTGCACGCACACAAGTAGTACTGCAAAATCAAAACGCTTCTCCCTGCCTGTCCTACAGACCGCTACAGCGCCTCCATTGGGTTGGACCCGCGACGGATATTGACCTCCCGATCACAAACCCATCGACGGCGGCAGTATCTACAGCAGACGTACAGCAGCAGTATTGTATTACGGAGGAACACAGTATTCAGGTCTAAATTGCCATGAAAAATGTTTTTTTGAAAAAAATATTTCTAGGTTTCATCCGAAAATATACGCATTTGTGGCCTTCAGAACAGATCTTTGGACACCCACAAGGGGGACACGAGTATGAACGTGGGATCAAAAGAAAGCTGATGACCTCCGCTCTCTGCAGATACCCGAGTTGCGCTCAGAAAGTCTGTATTCCGTACAAAATATGCAGCTGAAAATGGGCACTTCATGCGCCTTTTTTTCACTGGGAAATAGAGTTGGAACAGCCGGGTTCTGAATTGGCAACGCACACAGAACTTTTTGGAAACCCTGGGAGTGTGCGATCCGGGCAGCGTGCCCCTTTTTGAAATCCAACACGTCGGTGTCGAGCACTCCGCTGTGGAACAGAGGCACCTTGGGTCTGGTGCCTACGGCTGCACGTGCGCACATGGTGACCAAAAGGAAGGGTCGCTATGTTGCAACCGGCGTGACAGCCAAAGGGAAGGCCAGGACGGAGAAGCGAACTTGGCGAACATGCTGCGCGCGAAGGAGGCAGCTCTCGCTGTCCGCGAAGCAACCGTCGCCGCTCGCGAGGCCGCGATGGCGGAGGCAGAGAAGGCAGCCCAGGAGAAGCAGCAGCAGCAAGGACCCGAAGTGGACACACGTACGCCCGAGCAAGAGGCGCGCGAGCAACAAGCTGCCCAGCAGCGTGACGACTTGGCCCCCAAGACAGGCTCCCTTCTGGACATTTCACAGTCTCGTAGTATACTCCTCACGTATTTCGAGCTGGTGCAGTCAGGCGTCGAGCCGAACAAGGCTGTTCAACGGACCGCCGCAACTCTTCGCGTCGGCAAGGACAAGGTGTTCAAGGTAAGCTTCTGCTGTAACTGGTGCTGCTGCTGTGAATACTGATGTGTTACCAGTGTTGTATTCTTTTGAATAATTATTGTACAGATCATAGACTATGCTGTACACTGTACTCTAAGTGCATAAAAAGATGCTGTAACCACTGCTGTAAGATTACTGTCGTCGTTACTGCTGTTCGTTGTGAGGATGTTTGCGTGCCTGCATACATCTGTTGTCATATTCTCACAGCATCTCGTCCGCCGGCATGGTAACAGGTTCGCGCTCATTGGTGGGAGAAGACCGAATTGTTGGCATCATCAGCGGAAGGAAGAGGTGTGTCGAGCGGGAAGGACGGGCGAAAGCTTCTTGACGACGTGCAGTGCGCCAGCCTTCGTGCTTTCATCAGCGACAAACACGAGAACGGGCAGCAAGTGTTCCGACGCACGGTGCGCGAGTGGATCAAGGAGAGATGCAACAAGGACCTTTCTAACCGAGCGGTAGGCGGGCTGTTGTACAGGATTGGGTACAGACGCCGTCGAGGAAGGATCAAAATCCCACCTCTCAACGACGACAGAAAGGCGCGCATTCGTCGCTTTCTTGTCGAGATGTCTGCTGCTCTCACTCAAGAAGAGAAAGAGGAGGCGGTCATTGTGTACATGGATGAAAGCTTTTGTCATCAGTTGCACGGGTCTGCTTACTCTTACTTTCTCACCGATGACAATGGAGTAGTGCAGGATGGGATGGGACGTACGTCTGGGAAGGGCTTGCGGATGATCATGGTGCATGCGATAACCAAGGGGGGGGCGTTGGCAGCAGTGGATGAAAACAACTTCCCAATTCCTGAAGGTTGGTTCAAGCCCAAGGACAAGGGCAAGGGCAGGCAGGGGGCGGGGTCGATGGGTACGGAAGAAACCGCAGAGATGCTGTGGCAGGCTAAACGTGCCACGGGGGATTACCACGATGCAATGACAGACAAGATGTTCATGGAATGGCTTGAACGGCGCCTGGCACCGGCCTTTAAGGCCAAGTATGGCAACAAGAAGATGATTTTTGTTCTCGATAACGCATCGTACCACCACGGGTATGACGCAGAGGTGGGGGTGCCTGAAAGCAACAGTAAGGGGTACAACACTGGGCTTTTGCGCAAGTACAAGTGCAGGAAGATCACCGTGGAGCGAGAGGTGACCGGTAGCGCAGGTGTACGGAGCAAGACGTATACCTTCCAGGTACCAGCCACTGGAACGTTTCCCCAGGCGAATTCGAAGTGCGGTAAGGGCGTTAGCGGCCCCGAGGTAGCTCTGGCAACGCGAGCGTTCTTTCAGCTCAAGCATCCCACGAAGCTCATGGAGAAAGTGGAGACGTTCATGAACGGGCGTGGTTGGCGGCTGATTTGGACCCCCCCGTATATGCCGAGTTTCCAGCCGATCGAACTGTTTTGGCAGCACGGCAAGCAGTATGTGAGCTTCAACTTTAAGACGAAGCGCACGATGGCAGAGGTTTGGGCGCAGGTTCGGAAAGGGTGGTACGGAGATCCCACGTGGGAAGGGCAGGAGGGGGGTTGGAAACCGGCGGACTGTAGCAAGCTCGTTGCACACGCCGTTAAGGAGATGAACAAGTGGGTTGCGAGTGACCCTGTTCTCAGGGGTCAGATGGGCGCTCTTGAAGAGATTCCCGAGTCGTACGAAGATGATGCTCCTGGGCACAACGACATCGTACACGATGATGGCGTCGAGGCCCAGGAGCAGCTTGAGTTGTCTGCCGAATTTATGGAGTGTATGGGTGACGAGGATGCCGACGGCGATGCAGAGGTGTAGTCTAGACATCAAAGAGATTGAAATTGGTTTTGTTGCGTTGGATTATTGGCGTGTTGACGTTTGCTTTCAGCACCTGTATCATGTAGGGGTCCTCTCCCCTGAGTCAATATGGTGTTTTGAGTTATTACATGCTGCAGATTCCAACGGAATGGCAGTTTTTATGTTTTCATTCGTTCTGTGTGGTGTCTTCAGCTCAATCGTCAATGATCAAGGTTGACGTGTTGCGGTCGATAATACATGATAATTCTTAAACATCAACAACATCTCATTCAGCATTTCTTTTCTCGCATGGCGATCCCAGTGATGCGGTTCGTTTGAGCTGTGGGTGGTGGACATAAGCAGCCATTTGCTCAAGATATCANCAACAACATTTCATTCAGCATTTCTTTTCTCGCATGGCGATCCCAGTGATGCGGTTCGTTTGAGCTGTGGGTGGTGGACATAAGCAGCCATTTGCTCAAGATATCAAACAACCTGGGCGAAATATTCCGCCGCCGCCAAGGCCGAAATTCGACACATGTGGCGATGTCTCTTCGGGAAGAACTTTGTTTTTTGTATTTTTTTTTTTCATGATGACGACGTTGACACTGTGGTTTATTCAAGCCATCGTGGGTTAACATGCATGAAAAAACGGCCGAGATATGCTAGGATTCGCGCCATATCTAGAATCTGCCCCGCGGGGTAAAAAATGACATATTGAGGCGTTGCTCTGTGGCATCGCCGACTTTTTTCTTTCTTTTTTTTCATCGTGACCGCCTGTTCCATACGGTTCGTTTAAGCTATAGATAGAAAAAAATGACCTTATATCGCTCAACCAACTGCCAAGGACCTGAATACTATGTTCCTCCGTAATAGCTCGAAATCCTTCCCCCCAAGGCTATCTCGAAAGTCTTTCTAGTTTGCGTCTGGACAGCTCCTCCCAGTTCCCGTCAGTGTAGCGCACGCGCCAGTAGGAGGAAAGGTAGTTATACACCTGACCCTGAAGTTGGATTCCTCCGGCTAGCTCCTTCTGGAAGGTAAAACCTATCGGGAAAACGTGCAAGGCTTGGGCGCGGGACAACGGGGCACGGAGCTTGACTGAGTCAGGTGCAGAAGCGTTTACCAGCTGGGGGGAATACAAGTGGCAGAGAGCAACGAAGCAATCCAACTAAAGGGGTGTGAAGCTGCGTCGCATGGTCTCTTCCGACAGCCAGTCTGACACTACGCCGTTCCCTGACTTCCCCTTGTACTCCCAAACAGTTCGCATGCCGGAAGCTGGTTGAACTCTGCGACAGTCGACGATGGTGACTAGACCCAAACTGTCTTCGCTCCTAGAGGCAATTTGAAGCCGGGCCCCCACGCATACTGGGCAAAGTCCTCAGCTAGCGAATGTCGGAAAGGAAGTTCTCGGAGGTGGAAATGTTTAACATCGGCCGTAGATATCCTTCGGCTGCGCTTCTTTCCACCATACATCATGACTTCTACACTGAGACCAGGCTGGATCGCCCCCGTCGCTTTCCACGGTCCTATGTAGAGATCGTGTTGCAACGTTCTTCCCCTGTGGTCACGATGTCGACTACTCTCGGACTCGCGCACGAGCACCAGGCTGTCGTTTACGACTCCCACTCCAGCTGACGACCTCTCGATGGAGGCGTTGGCTTTCGCGCGTGCAGCCACTCGAAGCTCATGCTGTTTCTCGAGAGCGAGTCGTACTTCACGGAGATTTTGCTTGCGCCTCTCCACGAAGTTATCTAGTCCCCGTTCCTGATCCATATCGTCCGTAAGAGGAACTAACGAATCCAGCGACGTGCGAGGCTTGCGGCCGAAGAGGAGCTCGAAGGGGGTCATGTTGGATGGGAGCGAGATGTAAGCAAGGTGCGTTTGATCCACATCGCAGGCGAAACAAACTCATCCCATCGGTCAGGCCAGTACCGACACAGCTCAGTCAACAACTCCTGCAGCCATCCCCCTAGTCTCTCTACCGACCCTTGGCCTCGAGGGTGATCAGCAGCACCAAACACGATGTTTACCCGCAACCATCTGCACAAGTGCTTCACCACCTCTGCGCCAAACTCTGGGCCTCCGTCGCAACGCACCGTCTTTGGAACTCCTTAAGTTAGACACAGCTCTACCACCACTCGGGCTACGCCTACAGCTTGTTTGATTTCTAGCGGGAACCCGAAGGGAAACTTTGAGGCACGGTCTACCACGAGCAAGATGTAGTTATTGCCAGTTTGCGATGGTGTGTCGATCTTGAGGATGTCCATTTGCAACTCGTCCCACGGTTCAAGCGGTCTACCTGGCATCATCATGGTTTCTCGTCTGCTGAGTGGTCTCTTGCGTCTACGACAGGTACATGACAACACATAGTGTCGAGTGTCGTTCGTCATCGTGGGCCAGTGGAAATGATCACGCAGAAGGGACAGCGTTGTTCCTATCCCTGCATGATCATGTAGCGTGCGCACCAACGCAATGATGTCAGCTACCATGGCGACTGGAATAGCAATCAGTTTTCTCCCCTTCCCATGGGGATACCAAATCACATCATCCGCGCCTAGGCTATACCTGTGGCACCCACTTCCCCCCTGGCTAAGTCAACTCCATTGCTCAGAACCTTGCGAACCTGACCCAGATGGGTGTCGTCTTGTTGCCGATGCGCTAGCTCTGACGGCTTTGTGAGTATCCGTGCCGTCAGATCGATGGCTGATGCTCTACCAATCGTCTGGCTCGACGAAGACGCCGGAACCTCCCCCCGTGCAGCCAGCACCTCACCGATGTCGTCGTGACCAGGTCGACCGGGAGACGGCGGTAGTGTCGATGGCGACGGCGCCGGAGCGAAGGATTCCACCGTGGTGGGGCCGATGGCCTCTCTGTCCGGGATGGCCTCCAGTACGCTTGTCAGGAGCAGCTGCGCGTCGTCGATCGGTGGTAATCGCACCGAAGGGGTACGGGTCCGGCCGCTGCGGCGGGCGGCATCGCGCTCAGGGTCAACAGCAGCACACGCGGCGAAAGGCAACGCTCTAAGGGCGGACAAGTGGAAGTTGGTCATCTCCGGAGTGGGGTGAGAGGGTTGGGAGTCGGCATCGCCTCCACGGTCTACCTGGACAGGGTCCAACTCAGCCAGCCTTACACCATCCAAGTCCGGCCCTACGATCTCTACCGAAGCGCCTGCAGCAGTGGACGACAGGTCATCCGGAAACGAATCGTCGGCATCGACCTCTACAGGACAAGTAACGGGCAACCAGGACAACGCATCGGGCACTACGTGCTCTACCCCAGCCTTCCATTCCAGCTCCATGTCGTACTCCATCAGCCTAAGCGCCCACCTGTGCAGCTTGGGGCAGAGTTCACGGCTTCGGAACAACCATGTGAGGGCAGAACAGTCTGTCACAAGTTTGAACCGTCTACACGCTAGGCACGGCCGGAAATGGTCTACCGCCCACAGGACCCCCATGCCTTCCCGTTCCGTGGGGCCCCGTCTAGCATCGGTTTGCCAAAACCGGTGGCTTGCGAACGCTACCGCTCTGGTGGCACCGTCGATTGTCTGCGTGAGCGACGCTCCTACACCTAGCGTACTAGCATCCGTGTGTAGTTCGAACGGACGCTCAAGGTCAGGGAAAGCGAGAACAGTCGGGGAAGCCAACGTTTCTCGGAAGGACTGGAAAGCGTCGTCCTCAGCGGCTTACCAGGGGATAGGAAGCTTGCGTGTACGTTTCGAGGCGAAGGCTTTGTTGCGCAGAATGTTGGTGAGCGGAGCGGCGGTAAAACTATAGTTGGGTAGAAACTGAGGCAGATATCCGGCTAGACCCAAAAATGTGCGCAGCTCTTCTACTGTGTGCGGCCGAGGCATGCGTGAGATTGCATCTAGCTTGTCCATGGACAGGGTACAGGCCGGTGCTGTCCATGATCATGCCGAGAAACGCCTGCGACGTTGCGCCAAAAATGCATTTCGCGAAGTTCACGGGCAGTCCCGCGGCTAGAAGGCGGTTCAGAACGAGCGTCAGGGTGGCGAGATGTTCTTCCCATGTGTCGCTAGCGATGAGAACGTCAAGCCAGCTAAACACGCCCGATAGATGCCCCAAAGCCGACTTTGCTCTACGAGTGAAGGCCGCCGGAAGCATCGTCAGTCCGAAACCCGCGCGAGTGAATTCCCAAAGCATACCATCCGCATCTCGAAAGGCCGTCTTGTAACGGTCTTTCTCGGCGATTTCCATGTGGTGAAAACCGGAGGCGACATCTAGCTGAGTGAAATACTTGTTGCTTTTCAACCCGTCGAATATCATCTGCATGTCACACAGACCCCCGCTATCCGAGAGCAAGAGGTTGTTTAGCTCACGCCAGTCGATACACAGTCTCAACGTACCATCCTTCTTAACGCACAAGCACTGGGCAGCCCACGGAGACATGGATCGGCGGATCACTCCTCAGGCTACCAACTGTTGAATCTCTGCCCTGATCATGCGTCGTTCTTCTGGAGAGAAACGTCGTTGCTTGTCGGCAAAAGTTGTGCCAAACTCGTTGATCAGAGGAAGCTCATGCTCACCGTTGATGCAAGCAGGCACTCGCTTCGGGTTGACCGGAAACAGGCCGTCCTCGATGAACGCTACGAGAACGTTGACAAGTTGCTGCTTCTTGCGCAACCCTTGCGTCCCCAGGTTGGCGTCCTCTACGCGAACACGCGGGGTGGGTTCCCCATCGGGTGGGGTCGGACTCGGGGCGCTCGATTCACGGGGAGGCAGGGGTGGGTCGACAGCAAAGGGCGCGGCATCAAACAGCGAATCGAAAGCCGGCTTGCCGCGGCGTTGAGTGCTACCATGCGAGCCATCACCCGGCTACCCTCGACTGCCACCTTCTCCTTACTACGGTTAAGCAACTTGAAGTACACAGGCGACCCCGGAACCCACCACATCACCGCACGAGCTACTCCCACTACAGCTCCCTGCTCCAAATAACCATCACTAGCTGCCTGTCCTGCGGTCGCGCCCCCACGGCCGCAGCTTCCACCGCGCGCGTGGTGAAGCCATTGCCGACGGTAGTCTCCGGAACTTGTCGCACGTCCCATTCGAAGGAGGTGTCGTCCTCCCACACCACGTCCTTGTAGTTGGGCACATCTATGGGGACGGCGGGCACTTCGGGGGCGTTCTCCGGGGCAGCCATAAGTAGACTAAACTGGTCCCGAGCGTTGCGGAGGGGGCTTGTAGCTTGGGGGGCGTATGGTGCAATCGACAGAAAAAGCACCCAGAGTGCTGCTGGCACAGGCCTAAAGCCTCTGCTGGAGCTCGAGTCGAGCACGCTAGCGTTCCTCCTAAGAAAGTCTGCTCCCACAATGAACCCGTATGGCAACCCTGCTGCCACGCGTGTGTCTCTTACTCGGCAGTGCTGCGGATCCTAGCATACGCATCGGAGGGGTATCACTGCCGCGAGGGTTAGCAGCTTCGAGGGCCCCTGCATCTGATCGTTTGGAGAGGACATCGCTGCTAGTGCGGGACAGACTCAGAAGGAATAGTGTGAGATTCAAGGCGAGGTCAGCGAGCAGGGAAAAAACAATAATGCGAGCATGCACGACGAGGAACTAAAAGGGAACAGCAGTTGCAATGATCGCAAGGGGGAATAGTTTTTGAAAAAAAAAAAAATGGAAATATGGTACGAAATACTGCTTCAAATATACAATGGATACCACCTATGCGGCAGAAAGGGAAGTGCTCGCGCACAGAAACAGCGAGTGTCGCGAGGCGTAAATATTGAATGCAGAAAGGCCACAAAATAATCACGAAGCAGTGGGGTGCTCTCTGCGCGCCATAGAAATGATGGGCTCAGGCAACCGCAGTAGTTGGGATAATGCGGTCGAACAAAGAGAGAGGTGTTTGTATTCTACAGAGCGAGTAGTATTTCGATGCATTTATGAGGACGACAGCCCCATGCTCCGTACGGCATATGCACCCAACAAGAAAAATAAAAACTACACATAAACTGAAACAAAACAAAACGAACCACAAGCGTGCAGAACTCTGGACGGCTTTAATCGAGATATGATCGAGCGTCAGGCGCCGCGTTACCAGAAGGTAGGGTGGGAAGGAGAGGTTACATATGAGAGGCCCAACACACACCAAAATAGCTCTCTGAAACCACAGTGGTCAACAGTTCACTGCCAAATGTGAGACTAGTCCAGGGAGGAGAGGTCACGAGGATGATCCCAAACATGCACAAGGTTCAAACACTAGCATGCAGCTCGACTCGGGGTCTTCGGTCTTACGCACTTTTTCACAACATCACCATCGTTTCTGGCTGCCGCATGGGTGAGTCTGCCGCAAGCGCGAGAGACACGACCCATCAATGAACACTCAATCCGATCAACCTGGTAGTTCAACTGTCCAGTGGCAACCAGCCATCCACGCGGGTACAGAAAGAGCTATTGCGGTGGCGCCAACGGGCAGAGGAAAAATACAAGAAAACCGAGCTCTCCACCTTCCCCTGCAAAAGTATGCAGAGGCACATGGACGCATACACATGTCAGCCGTGAACAGAGTGAAATGCGCGCCAAAAATAAACACAGGAACCACGAGTACTCTAGGCCAGGGTACGATGGGTGTGTGCGCGTTCGGCGGACGGCTGCATCGCAGGGGAACACAAGGCACAAGCAAAGGGTGTGTTCACGCCGGAGCGCGCTGATTGAGACAAGCCGCAGGCCGTTGAAGGCGAGCGCATGACAGGAAAGAAAGGAAAAGCCAAAACGTGCAAGCTAGAGGGAAAATTCAGAGAGGCGCGAAAGGGCCTACAAGCCACACGGCTACAGCATGACAAGCGCATCTACGGCTGGTCGACAGCAACGACACGGAAGGACACCATATAACGGAAGGAGAGGCTAGGGATAGGGGCGGGTCCTATGTCTATGTGGGTCTGTGTGGTCTCTAGCCATTCAAGTGGCAGGACCCTGGGTGTCGGGAGGAATTGTCCAGAGAGGAATGTACATGGGACCCCAGCCTACAAGCACTGCTACCGACCTGATGAGAGCAGCCTCTCGATCGGTACCGAGTTCGGTAGATGAGCCGGAACAGCGGTAGTATGAGCCTCGAAGGTGGCTTGTGAGAAGGAGTAGAAGGTCTCCGGTCGTGGATACGGTATTCGCTTGTTGATTATTGCTAACTCAGGGCAAGCAAGGAGAAGCGGAGGAGACAAAAAAAAACGAGTTCGATTCTCGGATTGGACACCATATAACGGAAGGAGAGGCTAGGGATAGGGGCGGGTCCTATGTTTATGCGGCTCTGTATGGTCTCTAGCCATTCAAGTGGCAGGACCTGAGGACCCTGGGTGCCGAGAGGAATTGTCCAGAGAGGAATGTACATGGGACCCCAGCCTACAAGCACTGCTACCGACCTGATGAGAGCAGCCTCTCGATCGGTACCGAGTTCGGTAGATGAGCCGGAACAGCGGTAGTATGAGCCTCGAAGGTGGCTTGTGAGAAGGAGTAGAAGGTCTTCGGTCGTGGATACGGTATTCGCTTGTTGATTATTGCTAACTCAGGGCAAGCAAGGAGAAGAGGAGGAGACAAAGGGACTGAGCAACCTAGCCTCTAGACGGGACCCGGCAAACCGGACCTTACGGCTAGTGCCTGTTGGGAATAACGCACTCTCCCAAAGGTGCAACTCCTATCAACAGTAACAATGTAACTGTAACAGTACACGTACTACGTAATAGCGCGCACGTGCCGCGTTTGGTGGTAACTGCTGTGCCGGAGTACGCATTTCACCGAACGAAGTACATGCACAGAAATCACGTTACACCGTAACGTATTTGAAAGTTTCGCTGTCCCTTTGCTGCAGATTATTCTTTCTTCTGGTTTTACATGTAGTCCTTGCCGTGTCTTTTGCAACCAAAAGCAGACACTGTGACATCTCTTCGTCGACGCCATTGTGAAAAGAGGGAATCGTCCGCGACAGACATTGGGGAGATAGCACCTTTATGAAGGTGGTCTCCACATTGCCGTGTTTTGGTACCTCTACAAGCCAGCAGCGTGGTTGTAGGCGGGTTGTGTGCCGGTAAAGAAAGTTAAACTAAGAAAAGTTACTCGCAGCAGTTCCGATGGGCGCCTCATTGTTCCGACGACCGGTGTGGAGGCAGCTCTCCCTGCAGCGGAACTCGCGCGAATATGTCGAGCGTTGATGAGCTCACTGCTTGGCGTCGACCCGTTTCCGTCAGACAAGGAGCTAGACTATTTGCGTCCACGAAACTGGGAAAAAAAGAACACGAGTTCATTGCCACGTTGGTGTGTAATTCTTCCCAGTGGGTACCCACCGAGCACCCTGCTCTGCAGCGTATGTTGTCTTCGCATTAAAGATCGTTCCGGTCTCTACCTGCTAACCCGTAATGATTCGACGGACTCGCAGGCGCCTTCCTTCCGTGGTCACAGGCCAACTACCCACGAAGGGCACACACAGTGCTTCTCACATCAAATGGAAGATAAAAATGGACTCAGAAAACCTTAAAAAAATCGCGATTCTGAAGGCTATTTGCTTTATTTTTCTGTTGCGGAAATTCTCATACCTAATTCGATTTTGACCCCACCAAACGTGACCCCACCAAAAGTGACCCCACTCCCTATTTTTCACTTGGTTTTAGAGTAGGCGATCTCATGTTTCCTCTCTAAAAGCAAATTGTTTTTCTTCGGGTGATGTTTCTCGAGATCCCATCCACAGATTTTCGTGTGGGTTGGAAGAGGTGTCCCACCTGGTCCCGTCCGCCCGTCCTGCAAGTTTGGTGCAACAGCTCGTCTCTGTTTTTGAGAACGCGTCCGTTGTTGTATGTCATGTTCGTAGGTCTCCCCCGTTCGATTGATTCACCGAACAACCAAACCCCCTCTCTTCTTACTTCAGGACCCCCAGAGGTCGTCAACAAACAACGACGCACCCCACACGACGCGAAGAGTCACGTTCAGGTCGACGATGCAGGTGGCCGGTTTGCACCGCAATCGACTGCGTCAAGGATACATACATCTATCTCCCGAGAACCATGTGTGGAGCGTTAGTTTGTGGGGCATTTTTGCGAGGCAGGAAGGGGCAGAGCAGATGTTATATCCACCCTCAGGAACGTGCCCCGACGAAATAATACGGTCTGAATAAACGGGACAAGGAGGCCCCATCCAGAAAAAAAAATAAAGGGAGAGCCCTCCATCGCTCCCGCTTACACGCAATGCCAGAAAAATGTCAACAAACTACAGCGTAATCCCACCACGCTGCATGTCGTATCCAAGCGACGAACGATATGGCAAAGTGCATAGGCATGAATACATAATGATGCATGCGCGCCACGTGCGTGTGAGTTCCAGAAAGTGCATCGTCTGAACTACCGGCCAGACCACAGCAACATGCCATGTTAGACCGTTAAGTGCCATTTGAGCCAGTGAACCTGGCGAGGTCACCTGTGGTGGGCCCCGAACCACACGACGACCTTTTAGAATGCCATATGCATACGACCACACGACCAGCAACCCCTCAAAATGCGACCCCTGGTCCTCCGCACATGGCCTGCTGCGCATTGGTCCTCCCTGGCCTCGCGTGGTGATAGCACAACTCCGGCTTCTTGCTGTCGCCGATACCTTATTTTGCCACGTTCGTACACCCTTGATGGTCGCACCTCTTCCTGACGACATCGACCATACCTCGCTTCGCGTGCGGAGAGCAGAACTGCGGGTTCTTGCTGCCGTCTTTACCATACGACGGCCGCTTTGTGCAACCTGGATGGTGGCACCTCATCTTGTGGACGACATCGACCATACCCAGCTTGGAGTGCTTTGAACAAAACTCCCGCTCTTTGCCGTCTATGCCAAATGAAGCCCCTTTCGTGCACCCTGGATGGCGGCACCTCTTCTTAACGACATCGATCATACCCTGCTGGCTGTGCTGAGAGCAGAACTCCGCCTTCGTGCTGCCGTCCGTACCAAATGATGCCACCTTCGTGCCCCCTGGATGGTCACACCTCTTCCTGATGAGATCGACCACACCCTGCTGGCTGTGCAGAGAGCATAACTCCCGCTCTTTGCCGCCGTCTGTGCCAAATGAAGCCCCTTTCGTGCACCCTGGATGGCGGCACCTCTTCTTAACGACATCGGCCATACCCTGCTGGCTGTGCTGAGAGCAGAACTCTGCCTTCTTGCTGCCGTCCGTACCATACGATGCCACTTTCGTGCACCCTGGATGGCCGCACCTCTTGTTGGTGATAATGACCATGCCCTGCTGGCGGTGCTTTGAACAGAATTCCCGCTTTTTTCTTCCGTCTTTACCGAATGATGCTACCTTCGTGCACCCCGGATGGCCACACCTGATGTTACGGACATTGGTCATGCCTTGCTGGCTGTGCTGAGAACAGAATTCCGGCTTCTTGCTGCCGTCTACCGAATGATGTCCCCTTCATGCACTCTGGATGACCGCACCTCCTGGTGACGACATCGACCATGCCCTGCTGGCTGTGCTGAGAGCAGAACTCCGCCTTCTTGCTGCCATCTTTACCATACGACGGGTGTTTGATGCACCCTGGATGGCTACACCTCCTGTTCATAGAGACCATGCCTTGCTGGCTGTGTTGAGAGCAGAACCGCGCCTTCTTGCTGCCGTCCTTGCCATATGACGGTTGTTTCGGGCATCCTGGATGACCGCACCTCCTGGTGACGACATCGACCATGCTCTGCTGGCTGTGCTGAGAGCAGAACTCCGCCTTCTTGCTGCCGTCTTTATCATACGACGGCTGCTTCGTGCATCCTGGATGACCGCACCTCCGGTTGACGATATCGACCATGCCCAGCTGGCTGTGCTGAAAGCAGAACTCCGCCTTCTTGCTGCCGTCTGTACCGTATGATGCCCCGTTCATGCACTCTGGATGGTCGCACCTCTTGCTGACGACGTTGATCATCCCTGGTTTGGAGTGCCTTGAGCAGAACTCCACCTTCTTGTCGCGGCCATCGCCCTACGATGGCCAAGTTGTGCAGCCATTCTCCTGGCAGTACCGTTGTCTCTGCCCACGGTATACGGCAGTGGTACGCGTTGATAAAAGGAACATTACGGTTCAAAATATGATCGTGCAGAACGCAAAGTTCGGCGTTTACCGGGCCATGTTCACAGGCAGCAAACATGCAAGCAACATCGGGCAACAGCGAGAGACAATTCAATAAATGACACAACACCGCACAAACGGCATTCCTGCCCCCTGCTTGTTCAGTCTTGCCCACCCTGTGCTCTTTCCACGTTCGTGGGGGCAGCATCAGTTGCAGTTACTAGGTTGCCTCTCACGCGAGAACGGCAGTCAAAGCCTTTAATGGGTTGCCTTCGTCTTCAACTAACTGCCCTGGGACTGTTCGATTGCTGCTTCAAGCGCGTCTTCCTCCAGAACAAGCTGACGTTTAGTTGCTAACCGCCGAAGGTTTCCGACGAGCGTCACACGATTCTACACCCTCCTGGAAAAACGGTCTACATTGAATTGTGGCAGGCGCTGCCTCACTTCTTCAACGCCGTTGGGAATATACATCATGTTCCCCTTTACAAAGATGGAGTATGTGCGTAGCGATCGAGTGTATTTGAGGCCGCTAGCTACTAGCAGTGAGAGCGCTGATAGGGTGCCTAGCTGTATTCGACCCTAACCCACTAAAATCAATTACCAGTTGCAATGGAAACTAGGCAAAGTACAAAGCGTGACGTGTTTAACAAATCCTATACAAGGCTTGCACGGGTCTACCCCGTGGTCACGATTTTTAGAATAGGACTGCGTGAAGAAATACACCTCCACTCACCGGCTTGTATGGTGTCGCCGTCCCATCGCCCCAGCATTGCTGCGCTTTTACTCGTGCGAGGACTTCCATTGGCGCTTGGATGACGCGCTTGTGGGACTGACGATCAAACACGATGTATACCCATGTGAGAGGTAAGAAAGCACCGGGTGCGGGGGGATATTTAGAATGACAGGTGAGCACATGCACAAATGCAATCGAGCCATGACACCATGGGTCAGGATATTGAGCAAAGCCGCCCCTCAATCATCTTAACTTTGAAAAAATGAAAACACACGCGTAAACGATGGGTTCATTGTAGGCCAGATTCAAGTTGCCACGATACTTTCAAACGAGCAGAGCTCCAAGCTGCCACGAACAACGTTTAAAACGTTCAGGAAGCACTCGGAGCTAATATAGGGAACGGTGACATGGTGCTTCGATCGAGATGATCTACGGTATTGAGAATCCAAATCGCCAGGGGGGGTGGACCATGGGTCTGTCTACAGTAACCCATGGCATTTGAACAGATCGCGAGTTCGTTATGACAGAAAGTAAGCTTCGGTGGCTATTTTTCCCCGGCAGGATAGGTTGGGAGACAGAAAGCCTACGAACAGCTGGCTTTCGAAAAATCGACCCCGCTTGAAGTTACCTTCATTGACTCTTTCTTCGGCGCGGGGGGGGGTAAGGAGTTGACATATTATAACACATGGACCACAAGAGGCACGCGATACGTTACCAGTTCAAAAAGTTTTAGGAAAAATAAACACACACACAGAAAGACTACCCATTCGAGATATAACCACAGCAGTTGAACGGGAAGTGGTGGAGTCTTTCCAGAGAGTGGAGGGAAACCGGCTGGGTACTGGACTTATTTCGAGTCATTTCAAGTCCATACACTCAGCTGGGCACATTCTTCGAATCAGCGTGAACTGAGACTATGTAGCTTATTGGTCAACACCGCGTCACCGCGTCACAATAAGCTCGAGGTATGCATTAGTACGCTGCCGCGGCTATTGTTGTCTGCAATGGTAGCCTGATTTCTTAAATATTCCCCCCCCTAGAAAGCAATACTACCCGTCCCATATGCCGTTTTCTCCCCGGAAGTCGCCTTCTGCTCCAACCAGAGGACAACCATATGCATACAACTACATTTATTTCAGCTAAAAGTACCACATACATAGTAAGCGAAATCCGAGACACACCCCATTTTTGAACACACCAAGGTTGACACGCCGACTGCACCAAACCATGCACGCAGCATTCCCGAAGAGGAACGGGTGGTGTGAGGTGCCAGCGAGAGGGAGAGGAGATACACACAAGAATCATCAGACGGGGCGCGTGAAGGTCCAATAGCTGCGGTGGTTTGCGTGTCCGTGACTGCTATTTCAGGGCAGCGAAGACTGATCAAATGATCAAGCACTTTCCAACAAATAAGTGCAACGCACAACACCCTGAAGCCAAGCATGTCCCCCTGCAATGCCTCCTTGCTGCTGATGGAGAGATTGGTGCAGTTCTTGTGAAGCAACAGTCAAATGCTATGGAGAGATGTGTGTGTTACGCCGAACTCAGGAACATGATTCATTTGGTATGTGTACCTGTTCACTCTCTCTCTCGGCCACCACGCACCCACCGACTTCTCTTCTGGAATGCTCGTTGCATAATCTGTCGCAAACGGCCTGTCAACCAGGAGTGAGTGCGTTTCGGATTTCGGTTGCCATCGTTTGATTGGAGCTCGAAGACTACCATTTGGGTGTTGATGCCCTTTGGTTGGAGAAAAATCTTATTTCTGGGGAGTATATGGCAGACCGAAGGGTTTTATTTCCCGTCCGGGAAGGGAATATTTCAGAAAATGAGGGTACCGTTGGAGCTAAAAATCGCCGCGGAGGGTAGATTATATAGAGTTTACGACGTCGTTGCCAAGCGACGAAAACCCAACGCCGATGGTCTACCCCAGGAGGTTTGTGCAGCAGGTGCGGGGGGGGGGG